AAGAAGAAAGCGCTTTATCAGGTGTATAAGCAAATGTGGTGAAGAAAGCTGATGGTGCCTGGCTGTCAAAAGATATAGCTTCTGGGGTCTTAAAGACTTGAAGATGAACAAGTGACCATCTAGCTGAGAAGCAACAAAGCCCACATGGAAGAAAGACACCAACCTGTGTGATCATGAGGTGTCGATGGGATCAGGTATCAGGCATTAAAGACCCAGAGCAAAAAAAGCATAATATGAATGGTGGGGGCAATGCGGAGTGGAGGTCTAAAGCCAATCTGTAAGCAATTGGACATCCCCTTACAGAAGGGTCATGGGGAGAAGACGGGCCAGTCAGGGTACAGTATAGCACCGATGAAACATACAGCTTTCCTCCGGTTCTTTAATGCTTCCTGCCCCCCGCCCCCGCCCCACTATCATGACCCTAATTCTACCTTACAAATATGGCTAGACCAGAGCATGTACATGGGTAGAGATAAGAGGAAATACAGGAGAGATAAGCTCCTCAAGACCAATATTGAGAGTAGTCATAACAGGAGGGTAAAGGGAGGTGGGGAGAGAAAGGGGGAACCAATAACAATGAACTATTATAACCCCCTCCCAGGGGATAGACAACAGACAAGGGGTTAAAGGGACACATCGGACAGTGCAAGGCATGAAATAATAATTTATAATAATAATACATGATACTTTATTTTAAAAGTTCATGAAGGAGGGAGGGAAGGGGAAGGAGGAGAAAAAAATGAGGAGCTGAGACCACGGGCTCAAGCAGAAAAAAAAATGCTTTGAAAACTATGGTGACAACATATGTACAAATGTTATTGACACAATGGATGTGATAAGAGTTGTACAAGCCCCCAATAAAATAATTTTTAAAAAGAAAGAGATTTATATACAAGAGCAATTGAATATTGAGAAAACATCTGAGTTAGTTAATTGTGCCAGCCCGGCCAATAATCACATGTGGGGCTAATTGAAAGGCGAAGGGATAAATGGGTGGTGAGCCTTGCCCTTT